CAGCCTTGGACATCCCGTAGCCATCGCCTCTCGATCCAATCCTCAATCCCTCGCCGATTCCATCAATTCTTCCCTACCCTCGCCGCTCGTCAAGGCATTCTCCGTCGATGCCACCTCTTCCAGCAGCGTTTCGCAGTTTGTCGCGGATGCGAGCAAGGCTTGGCCCGATGCCAAGCCGCACGTAGGCGTGTGGAACCCTACGGTTGGATTTGGTTTCAAACCATTCTTAAAGTGGACAGAGGCCGAGGTCAGGGAGGCTTTTGAGGGTCAAGTGTGAGTTTGCGCAAATCGTCATTGCCTCCTCTCGCACGCGTGCTGCTCCACTCTGCGTGCGCCACCGCCGAGTAGAAAGCGATCGCTCACGCCGCCCTGCCGCCCTGCCGCCCTCTCGCTGACTTGATGACCAAAGCATCGGAGCATTTACTTTTACTCAATCGCTCCTTCAAATCTTTCTCGATTCCCCTCTTCCCTCTTCGCCTCTGGAATCGCGAGGCGTGCTGCTCTACACCGGCGCAACCTCTTCCCTTCGCGGCTCCCTCAACTTTTCCGGCTTTGCAGCTGCGAAATCCGGCTTGAGGAGTCTGATTCAGTCCGTCGCGCGCGAACACGGCAAGGATGGCGTGCACGTGGCGCACTTTGTGATCGATGGTGTCATCGATACGCAACGCGTCAAGGGATTCTTGGGTGAAGCTGAGCATCCAGAAGATGTGAGTGTGTGTGTGTGTGTGTGTGGCCAAGTGGGGCGAAGCGGGTGGCTGGCTTCTCGACTACTTTTTGCGCGCGCAAAGTTGGGAAAACATTCAGTGGCCGCGAACGATGCGTTCAAGGCCCCCCCTCGCGCGCATCTGCATGCCACACTTCGCTATACCCTCGAGCTTTGACTTGCGAGTTCGAAAGCAATCTGGTACTGACTCGTGTGAGAGGAAACAAACTGTTGCACTCTCCTCTTGCATTGCTCCACAGCGCCTCGACCCAGATCACATTGCAGCAGAGTACACGCACGTCGCCAACCAGCCTCGCAGCACTTGGACGCACGAAGTCGACGTTCGGTGAGTCATAGTGTGCACTGCCGCTGCACCAGACTCTGCGCGGCGTGATGCAGCAGCGTACAGACAAAGGATTAAGCTGCAGCTGCAGGCTAACTCGATCTTTCATCCATCTTGCACCCCCCTTCTGCGCAGCCCTGCCCGCGAGAAGTTCTGAAGCAATTTCCGCCCCCAGGAACTGCGTATCGTTGTGCACATCCTAGGATCAGAGGCAAGGTCAATGCGATACGAATTGTGCACTCCTGATCCGAAAAGCTTTGCGGAGCATGTCAGCAAGAATCGGGCAACGAGCAAGGGCATCATTGCAGGCAAAACCTCGACGATTCGATTGCAATTCCTGCTGATCAGAAGTAGGGTATAATGACGAGAGCCTCACAAAAAAAAAAAGATGTCGCCGCCGAGTCGGTCGCATTCTCTCAGATGGCTGGCACGGCGGGAGTATCTGCTTGAGGAGTGGGCAGCAAGTTGTCTGAAGAAGGCTGCGTCTCTGGCTTTGATTCTGACAAACCAGCTTTTTGAAGTAGCACCTCTGCGCGCGTATGGTCCACCGTCGTCTTCATCCTGTGAGAGTAGAGCACTCTTCCTTCTGCTCGTGAGGAGCGGCAAGCAGCAGCAGCAGCAGCAGCATGACAAGACGGGGGAGGCAAAGGGTCGGTCATGCGGGGCCAAGAAAAGAGGAATGTGGAGGGCGCAACTCTAGCCCTCGCGATTTGTGTCGCTCACCTGGACTGAGTATAAAGTCACCGCCAAGCTGATCGAATGCGCCTCCTTTCCACATCAGACTGCCGGAAGTGGCCATGCCCCACACGCTGTGCAGCACATCGCTCATCTTGCTTTTTTGTGTGTCATAAGGCTGGAAGGGGGAAGAACACACAAGACCAAAACAAAGCAAAACAAAAAAAAAAGGTTGCGGGATGGAAGCAGTTTGAATGGATGGTGAATCATCGTGCACGACGTCAGTGCAAGGCCGCGCCGCTTTCAAACTCACAATGTCACCAGAAATGTCTAGACTCTTGATGCAGCCCAACGCGTCGAACACTTTTGCGCTTGGATCGCTGACCATCAAGAACTTGTTGCCCGTCATGTCTTGATACCTGTCGATGCCCTTTTCCGCCACGCCGTGACCCAGCACGATGAGTTGAGGGCCGTTGGAAGGAGCATCGGGAGCTGCAAGCTTGGAGAGTGTCGGGTTGGCATTCAGGGAGGAAATGTATCCTTGGCACATACCTTTTTTTTCGCGAAATTGTGAAATAATGCGGCATGGACAGGAGGTCAGCTTGCAGCTAGACTGATGCGCATGTATGCTATTCAATGCGGGGCCCGCATTCGCCCCTGCCTGCTCTTTCTTGCACGACCGACTCACCACAGTGATGATGACGGATCAAGATGAGAATGCTAAGCCTGCCGCTGGTCAGCTCTGCGAGCGTGGTGCTGGATCCATCTTGACGCTGAACGGGCAGGCTCAAAGCTTTGCTCAGCTCTTCCGAACTCAGCTCTACGCTGTTCGGATCCGGTGCGGGCTGCTTCTGCTTCTTGCTGAACAGCATGATTGTGGACTGCGTGCGCGCGCGCGCGAAAGCGAGCGGATGAATGGGCGTGTTGAGTGACGATGTAGCAAGCTTGATGAGATGGGAATCACGAATGGATGCGTGTGGATTGTGTTGGTATGAGCAGCAGTCGTGGAGTTGAGTCTTGAGTGAGAGCCGTGGAGTTGCGCGCAAACAGGCTAGAGATCCCGCGGAAATATGACCTTGGGGAGCGCATGCGCGCAGGACGCAGAAGGTGGAGGTTGGGTTCGTGCAAAGATGCGGAACAGGGGCGACACGTGACCACCACTCACACTCACAGGTCGAGAATTATCGCTATAGATAGTTTTGAGTGCATAGCAGGGTCTACCCGACTCGACCCGCACGCGCTTCACAACTCGAGAATCAAAATGCTGAACCGAATCGCGCCCGCGCCCGCGCCCACGCCTGCGCCCCTCGCTTTGCTCCCTGTTGCAGAACGGTACAGCGACCGACCAGCAGCATGTGCAGCAGAGCAGCACCACACACCGCGTTGCTTGGTCAGCATCCGAATCAGTCCGGGGCCGTTCAGCAGCAGCGCACCGCACCGCACCGCACCGCACCGCACCGCACCGCGCACCCAAGATCTTTAGTCAGCGTAGACGACCCTCTCAGCGGGGGGGCGGTCGATCGTGGATTCGAAGGAGCGTGTAATACTTATTACGTGAACTATACTCGTGTATGAAAAGAAACTCTTTCAGCACAATTACAATTTGAATCTTGGGCCAGATGGCAGCTAGGCAGCATCGCCGACGGGGCAGCGCAAGTCACCGATTCACCGAACGCGCTGCTGCGCTGCGCTCGCCGCGGTTGACAGCGCGCGTGCCTAACCGGTCTTTCCGATGAGCGCAAGTGTGAGTCGTGAGTGCATGGTGAGTGCGCATGCATGGCGTGGCGTGGCGTGGCGTGGCGTGGCGTGGCGCCTCAAAAGTTTTCCCTGTGAGCGCGCACACGCACACGCACGCGCACGCGCAGAGAGTGTATTGTGTTTCTTCTCGCGGCATGCATGCGCGCTGCCTGCCTGCCTGCCTGCCTGCCTGCTTGGTTGCTTGTCCGTTGATTTGTGAGGGCGCGCGCGTTCGATCGAAAAACTGTTGTGACGCACAGCAGCCAACCAAAAGCGAGGAGTTTTCAATCGGGCCTGCTGCTGCTGCTGCTGCTGCTGCTGGATTTGAAGGGCTACCGGTACAGCTAGGCAAGGGTGATGCCGCTCTCCGCGTGTTTAGCAATCCGAGACCTTTTACCGCTGTTCCATGCGCGTACAGCCAGCCGGCCAGCCAGCCAGAGCGAAGCGGCGTGCGCGCGCGTGCTGGTGCTGCTGCTCCGGTCCGACTTTTGTGATGAAGTTTGCACACGATGGAGGCGCAATCGCTCTTCCCCTCCTTGCTTCTACTCCACCAAGCCAACAAACAAGCTACACGCAATCTCTTTGCCATTCTCACTTTTCGCAAACAATTAAGTCGTCTTTTTGTTCTGGCAAAATGGGCTTCTCTGACGGAGATGCAAACAAGGGCGCTGGGTGAGTCGAGTCGCTGTCGCTGCTCCTTCCCCCTGCCACCCATCTCGCTCGCCAAGCCTTCCTGGTGGCGCTCCACCGCGATACTCAGGCACGCACTTGCGATGGCCTGAGCCGAGCCGAGCCGAGAATCTGCCTAAAAGCGTCTCATTCCACGCCTCGTATCATGCGCCGCACTCTTCGCAACTCGCCTCGCTGGACCAACAGTGCTGACTATTTCTCTCGCGCCTCACACACAACAGTCTCTTCAAGACCCGCTGCGCGCAATGCCACACTGTCGAAAAGGGCGGCCCCAACAAGGGTGAGTAGAGTGCTAGAGCGGAGCGAGTCTGACGGATCTCAATGGTCCCCTGGGGTGGCGGTGATAGGGGAGCGCTACGCATCTCGGCGCAGATCTCGCAGGCTGTCTCGTGCGACGCTCGCTGCTCGTCGCTTGCAGTCTGCCGGCTTGGACAGCCACGAAGGACGCTCGGCTCGCTCCCCTCTGCCGCTCGGTTGACCCCGTCATCAGCGTGATGGCAGGCTGACCAAGTCCCTTGCCCTCTCTCTCTCGCCACTTGCTCCTCAGTCGGCCCCAACCTCCGTGAGTGTTGCAGCTCGGCCTCATCCTCTGCATACATGCCCGCTGAATGCGCTGCTGCCATTTGTTCCTCGCCACAGACGGACTGTTTGGTCGTAAGACTGGTCAGGTCGAGGGTTTCAGCTACACTGCTGCGAACGTGAACAAGGGTGTTACTTGGTGAGTGCATCACATGGGTCGCTCGAGCTGCAGGGCTTTCTGCAATAAGCACGAGACTTGGATGGCAAAGTGTGGCTTTCACAGTCGCCCTCGCGTGATGCGGAGGATGCTGCTCGTCTACCGGACGCAAGCAGGAGCAGGAGCACGTTTATTGACCTGGATGCTTGGTGTCCCCACAAAGATGAAAGCAACAATATGCTGACATGAACCTTCTGGTACGCTTCCCAACACTCTCCGTGCAGGGACCAAGACACGCTTTTCGAGTACCTCGAGAACCCCAAGAAGTACATTCCAGGAACCAAGATGGCCTTTGCGGGTCTGAAGAAGGAGAAGGACCGCAACGATTTGATCACCTGGTTGCGCCAAGAGACCAAGTAAAAGGCCAGGTCAGGCGCTCGCATCGCATCGCATCGCATCGCATGGCATGGCAACGGACTGATTGCAGCAACGCTCGCATCGCCCGTCTGTTGCCTGTCGCACACTTCACCACTCTTCCGCCCTCTCTCTCTCTCTCTCTGTCCCTCTTCCGCACTCCTGACCCATTGGTCGACTGGAGCATCTGAAGACCCGTGCCACCCAACTTTTTGCATGGGAACACTGGATCCCTCTTGCCCTAGCCCCTAGCCCCGCCTCTTGAGGTCAATGTGTTCGACATTGGCTCCAGTTGCACACTCACGCACGCAACACGCTTCCCCGCCCCCCAAAATCAACACAAATTTGCATATTATAGACGATCATTTTGCTTTTGGATGTGTGCGGTGTGCGGTGTGGGGAGGGGAAGATGGGGGTCCTGTGGCGATGCTGCTTGCTGGTGTTTGCTGGCTGCTGGCTGCTGGCTGCTGGCTGCTGGCTGCTGGCTGCTGGCTGCTGGCTGCTACTCTTGACTGGCTGCTGACAGAGGGTGCGTTGCGAGCAAGTGGCAAGTGGCAAGCGGCAAGCGGCAAACGCATGCATGGTTCGCGTGCCTGACTTGACTTGAGACGCCAAGGACTCAGGTGCACGTGATTCGAGGCACAAGGGCGGGTGAAGCGAGCGAGCGCCTCGATCGGATCGGCTTCCCTTTTCTTTTTCTTTTTTTATTGTTATTATTATTGCTCGACTTGCACGCCTCGCCGAGGTGAGGTGAGGTGAGGTGAGGTGAGCTGGCTTGATCTGTTTGACTTTGAGGTGGGCGGAGCGAGTCGGGGCGGGGCGGGATTCATGAAGCCTTTTACTTTGGAGGAGACGTACCGCTACGCTCCTTTTTTTTTTTTTTTTTTTTTTTTTTTTTTTTTTTT